CCAGGATAGGCTCCAAAGCTCACAGAGAAACCCTATCTCAAAAAACCAAAAAAAAAAAACATCTTCAGGAAAAAAAAGTGTCATATAGCCTTTGTCTTTGACATTGTTCCCTAAATAATAATTCTAATATTTACCTACAAAGCCACCTATTTTATTGGGTGTGATAACTTAAAGAAAAGCTTCTTAAACTGAGTCCAACCTTATATGGGGTCATGCAACTTAATATGGGGTGTGGGTCCCAGAAATTTTGGCAAAAGTGAAAAGTTTCTAAAAGCACAATGACCAAAAAGCAACTCAAAATCATGAATCAGGCTAGGAGTGGTGTCATACTCCTTTACTCCCATTACTCAGGAGCAAAAGCAAGTGGATCTCTTGTGAATCTGAGGACAACCTGGTATATATAGCAAATTTCAAGCTAATTGAACTACACAGTAAGACCCAATTTCAAAAAGCGTGAGTGTGTTTATATGTGTGTTTTTGGGGGTGGGTGGGAGATGGGGCTGGAGAGATGGTTCAAAGTTAAGAGCAATCATTGCTCTTCCAGAGGACCCTGGTTAAGTTCCTAGCACCCACATGGTGGCTCACAACCATCCCTTACTCCAGTTCTGACAAGGGATCAGATAAATGCATCTGAGCTCTGTAAGGACCAGGCACAAATGGTGTACAACATTCATGCATAAAATCAAATTTAAAATCAAACTTTTAAAAATTATTTGTATACTAAAATTTTTAAATATTTATAATTTATTAGTGTTTCATTTGGATACTTATTTTATGTACCTTTATACAAGGGGCCTCATGGAAAAAATTAAGACTCAAATTAAAGCATATTGGAGAGGTGCTAGAGAAATAGCTCAGTTCTTGATGCTCTTGCAGAAGACCCATATTTAGTTCCTAGCACCCATGTAGTAGTTCACAACCATCTGTAACTCCAGTTCCAGAGGTCAAATGATCTCTTCTAGCCCCATAGACACAAAGTATGCATATGGCACACGAGCAAACACATTTTTTAATCTTTTAAAGTATATGGGAGAATCAAGCATGGTGATACATGTCTTTAATCTCAGCACTCAGGAGACAGGAGCAAGTGTATCTCTGTGAGTCCAGGCTGGTCTATATAGCAAGTTCCTGGCTAGCCAGAGCTACATAGTGAGATCCTGTCTCAAAGTATTTGGGAGGAAGGGTATGCATAGGTTCATTGCAAACACCTTACCATTTTATGTATGGCATTGAGCATCCACGAGTTTTTATCTACCAGGGCCCAGAATCCAAACCATGTGGATACTAAGGAATGATTGATTGTAAATTAATCATTAATGTAAATTAAATGTGTTTTTCAGCTACAATTAGTGGATCATTTTACCTCCATGGGTACCATACATGGGAGTACATGCAAATGACCAGGAACTAGGTAGGGAAAGAGATCCTGGGCCCCAAGCTTTAAAAGACTGGCTTCCTGGACCCAAGGGGAGATGGATGTCATGATAACTCTTCCCGACAGCCTGGTCCCAGTGTTGCATCAACCCCAAATAACACACGAGATACTATATTAATTATAAAGCTATTGGCCTTTGGCTGTGGTTGCTTACTGGCTAGCTCTGACTTAATTACTAACCCATAACTACTAATCTATGTATTTTTACAAGGACTTCTCTTACTGAGGACACCAACCTCATGTGTCCTCTTCCCCCTCCCCCCAATACCATGGCAACTCTCCCATCTACTACATTTCCCAGAATCCTCCTCGACTCCTAGTCCCACCTATCTTGCTCCCCTATTGGCCAACAGTGCCTTATTTATGAACCAATAAGACAAACATACACAGAACACTTCCCCCATCAGATGGAAAACCAGCAGAACCAACAGAAGGAACAGGGTCCAAGGCCTGCCACTGCCAGTAATCTTAAAGCAGGAAAGAGGCAAGGCCTGGGAATTGGGAGTAGAGCCAGGAGGCTGAAAGTCAAGGCCAACAGCTATAAAACCACTGCCCCGTTCTAAGCATGTGGCAAAGGGGACAAGGTTTGCTGTCTGATAGCTCACGTAATCATAAAAACAGCTTTGTCAGGATGAGCAAGCCTGATGTGGCCCAGGGAATGCTGTTAGGGACAGAATAGGTAAGTAGGGAACTTGGATCTAGGAGCCACACACTATTTCCTAGTTAGCAGCCATTGGCCAAGAGATCTTTGTTGGGATTCCCTCTAGCACTCCATGTAGCCTCAGGCTCTTAACCAGAGCTTCCTTGACATGTGTATCTCAGGTTCTGTGCCATGCAATATTCCTTTTTTTTACTTTTCAAGACAGGGTTTCTCTGTGTTGCTTTGGAGCTGTCCTGGAACTAGTTCTTGTAGACCAGACTGGTCTCAAACTCACAGAGATCTGCCTGCCTCTGCCTCCTGAGTGCTGGGATTAAAGGCGTGCACCACCACTGCCTGGCCATGCAATATTTCTTAATTAGGCATAAAGCAGGGCATGGTAATTTTAGCATTTGGGAGGTGGAGGCAGGAAGATCAGGAGTTTAAGGTCATCCTTAGCTATTGAGAGAGTCAGAGGACTACAAGAGAATGTCAAAAAAAAAAAAAAAAAAACCAGGAGAAGAAGAGGAGGGGGAGGCGGAGGAGGCGGAGGCGGGGGAGGGGGGGAAAATTGGCTCGGTGGTTAAGAGCATATAGTACTCTTTCAGAGGATCTGAGATCAGCACCAACATGACAGCTCACAAGTGTCTGCAACTCCAGTTTCTAGGGAATCTGACACTCTCACCTGGCCTCTAAGGGTACCAGGTATGCATGTGGTACAATACATACATGCAATACAGCCAAAACACTCAGACATATAACATAAAAATAATAAATCGAGCCGGGTGTTGGTGGCACAGGCCTTTAATCCCAGCACTTGGGAGGCAGAGGCAGGCAGATCTCTGTGAGTTCAAGACCATCCTGGTCTACAAGAGCTAGCTTCAGGACAGCCTCCATTGCCACAGAGAAACCCTGTCTCGGAAAACCAAAAAAAAAAAAAAAAATCTCATTAAAAAATGAAATGAATGAATGACTTAACTGGAGACGAGAAGTACAAGATACAATGGTCTGTGTGGATTAAATGTCCTAATGAAGCTAATTGTGTGCTAATTTAAAAAAATTCCTTTTAAAATCCAGATGGTGGTATCCCACGCCTTTAATCCCAGCCCTTGGGAAGCAGAAGCAATAGGATCTCTCTGAGTTTGAGGCCAGTGTGGTCTACAAAGGACAGCTAGAGCTGTCTCGAAAAACCAAAAAAGAAAAAAAGAAAGGAAAAATTTAAAAATCCAGGAGAGCCAGGCATTGTGGCATACTCCTTAATCCCAGCACTCGGGAGGCAGAGGCAGGCGATCTCTGTGAGTTTGAGACCAGCCTGGTCTACAAAGCTACACAGAAAAACCCTGTTTTGGGGAAAAGAGGAGGAGGAGAAAGAGGAGGAGGAGGAGGAGGAGGAGAAGGGAAGAAGAAGAAGAAGAAGAAGAAGAAGAAGAAGAAGAAAGAAGAAGCAGAAGCAGAAGCATAAAAAGGGCTGGAGAGATGGCTCCGTGGCTAAAGAGCTTGACACGAGCTTGAAGACCTGGGTTTGGATCCCCAGGATCCATGTAAATGCTCGGGAGATGGAGACAGGAGATTTGTGGTGCAAACTGCCTTAGCCAAATAAGCAAACTCTGGGTTCAAATGGAGGCTCTGCTTTAATATTGAAGATAGAAAATAACTATGGAAGACACTGGGTGGTGCAGCAAGAGATCTCGAAGAGCAATGCATCTGGCTTGAATCCCAGAACGTTAGCACCTAGGCTTTGAACTGCCTTTTGTAATAGTTGTCTTTTGTGATTATTACCCTTTATTTGAAGTGTTTGATTCTTATCTGACTTCTTCCTGGAGGAATCAGAGCCTTTGTAAAACTTAGTTATGGAAGTACTTGGAAAACCAAGATGTCTCATAGCTGAGAATTGCTTGGGCAAATGAAATGGTTCCTTCAAATAACTCCAGATCAAAGGTTTTGGTATTCAGAAATTGACTTGCTAAGAGGTGTAAATTGTGAAACAATAAAAGAAAGTTTTTGTGAAGCAATGGGCAGTCAGTTCACCAGAACTTGGCTCCTCTGTTGCTCTGCTAAGCCAAAATGCATCTTGGAGTGACCCTAATTTTTCCATGGACCCATGCAAAACAGAACACCAACAGGATATCAACTTCTCTCCACATGCATGCACACAGCCATGCATGCCAATACACATACACCCAAAAAGAGTAAAAGAAAACAACTCAAAGCCAGGTGTTGGTGGCACACTCGAGAGGCAGAGGCAGGCAGATCTCTCTGAGTTGGAAGCCAGCCTGGTCTACAGAGCGAGCTCCAGGACAGGCTCCAAAGGAATACAGAAAAACCCTGTCTCAGGAAAAAAAAAAAGAAAGAAAAAAAAAGAAAACAACTCTTTTTAAAGGGGAAGAGACATGCATTGCAGGGGGACATAAGAGTACCTCTTGAATCCCAAGACAAGAGGCAGTTGACCACACAATGACCTGATTTGGGGATTGCAGGGTGGCCAGAACTCTCTAGCAGCTCTCAGGTTTTCTCTGGGCATCTCCCTCAATCCTCTGTCTTTTGGGCCTGGCTTTTCTTCTGATACTCAGTTGACAAGGAAAAGAGAAAAAGGCCACTGTAGTTTCCCACTTCCCGTGTTATGAGTCCATCCACAGAGAAAAGGGACCTAATGGTAGATTCCAGATTTCTTGGAGACACAGGCTCAGGTTAGGTCAAAAGTTCTTTTAGTTCTATTCAGTAACAGTGAGGGACTTAGGGTGATCACACACCAACATGTGACTGCTATGGCCCTTTATCATGACTCCAAGGAAGACGAGGAGTTCTCCTGATATATATGGAATTAAAGTTAGTTTGGTGCCAAATCCAATGGGTAGCTCTGGATGCAGACAGCAGAGAGACTCTACTCACCAAGCCCATTAAAGGACACAGAGACACTAAAACACAAAGTGCCATATGAAAATAACAATTTAATTTGCTAAGCATACAATCCCTACCTGCCCTGTACTTAGTTCTCCTAAGCCTGCCCAAGCAAAGTCCCCTGTTTCCTCTGCAGGTAGATTTCAACTAGGGGGACAAAATAACATGAGATGAGGCCCTGATCAGAGGTGAGCAGGGGGCTGGGCTGAGTCCTTTCGGCCTTCACCAGCAATAGGCCGGCCTCGCTCCTCCCAGATAGTAAGGCCATCACAAGAGCAGATCTGCTTGGGGTTCTGGAAAAGGCCAGCAGAGCGTGCAATGATGCCACAGGCCAACCTGCGGAAAGATGTATGGTCAGCATGGCTTTCTCTAGGCCTCTTAGGGTCCCATGTGTCCCCCGCCACACCCATGCCTCCTGCCGGGGGTTGCACAATTCACCTCTTCCCAGAGTTTCCTGTGATCTTGGATAAGGGATGTCTTCCCTGGCCCAGGTCATCTTCTCCCTCATCAACAACCAGGCTTCGGCCAATCACATCCCACACCTTTGAAGGGAAACAACAGCCTCAACTCCACTTTCCTTCGAGGAGGGTCCCCACACTCTTTCCACCTTACCTTCAGCTGTTTATCCTCTATCCGGAAGGTGGCTCGGCCATCAGCATCAGCCAGGATGTTGCCGAGATCTCCCCGGTGCTGGAATGAGACCCCATGGAGAAAAGAAAAGTTACATAGTATGGCTGGTATCTTTAGCCTTCCCAGGATCTGAGTCTTCATCCTGTTTCCCCAAGCTCCTAATTTCCTTCTGCAGATGTCAACTGGAAGGCAAAGAAGATCACTGGACATTGCCTTCCCTGGGAGTGAAATACTGGCAGAGAGCCACCATGCTGCAAAGACTCAACTTCTTTCCCCACAAGCCAATTGTCTAGGCTGTTTTCCATCCCCAATTAGCTAAGTTCCTGTTTCTTCCTTAGCCCAAATGTCCAGTTGCTCAGGAAGCCCTGGGTAAGCCTCCATTTCTCAAGGCTTAAGTTAGCTATGTTTGGCTTTTCTAACCATTACAGTGGCCAGCATTACCTTCCTGACTCTCAGCCTCAAGGAACAAGAAGGAAGAAATATGAGGGGGCAAAGAGATGGCTTTGCCCCCTTTTATCTTGAAAGTAATAAAAAGGTTGTAGAGGCAGGGAAGATGGCTCAATGGTTGTTATGCAAGTAAGGAGACCAGAGCTCAGACTCCCTGCAGACATGTGAAAGCTTAGCGTGGTAACACATGTCCATAATCCCATTGATGGGGTGCAGCACATGGTAGATCCTATGGGCTCACTAGTCAGCCAGTCTAGTGAAAACAGCAAGCAAGCATCAGTTTCAATGAAGAGACCCTGTCTCAAACAAAGTGAGGAGCAATAAAGAAAGACAACTGAAGTCAACCTCCACATCCATAGGACACACACACACACACACACACACACACACACTGTGTGTATGTACTTCCCAGTACAGACATTCTGCCAGGCATCATGAGCAGTGGAACAGAGTGAGGATAACAGACACTGAGGCTTGGTTTGGGAGGGTTTTTTGTTGTTGTTGTTGTTTTGTTTTTTTGGTTTTTCAAGACAGGGTTTCTCTGTGGCTTTGGAGGCTGTCCTGGCTGTAGACCAGGCTGGCCTCAAACTCACCGAGATCCACCTGCCTCTGCCTCCCGAGTGCTGGAATTAAAAGAGTGTGCCACCAACACCCAGCCAGATATCGAGTTTTGAGGTGACAGAACCCAAGTGGTGAGCCATAGAAACTACATCTGTGCAAAAAATCATTTCCAACCTGATTCATGAGCAGATACAAATGCCTAAGCTGGAGAGGGCTGGTCCCAATAGTCTTACTGCCCAGTAATGAAGAATGTCAATGGCTTCTCAGGTCATAGAGGCATATACCTTTAATCCCAGCACTTAGAAGGCAGAAGCAGACAGAGCTCTGTGAGTCTGAGGCCAGTCTGGGCTACACAGAGAGTTCCAAGGACAGCCAGGGTTACATAGAGAGACTATATCTAAACAAACAAACACCCCCCCAAAAAAACCAAAAAACAGAAATTTGGCTTCTATTTTTATCTTGTCTAGAGGAACATCTGGCACCCGACATTTTTTGTCATATTGCCCTATGATAAAAACTTTAGTGGTAGAGAGTTCAAAGTGGGGAAGATGACAAGGACCTTATCAACTGTTTCTGGGGTTGAAGAATAAGCCAGGCAGTATGACTCAAGGCATGATCTTGCAAGGGGGGCAGGGAAAACAGCCTCTTCAATCCCTCCTCTAAGGACTAGTCAGAGAGGCTGTCAATGTCACTCTAGCATGCTGAGTCCAGCCTGTACTTTTGGGTCATGAGGAACCGAGAAGGGTTTTCACATAGCATATGGCGAGGCTCCTTTATGTGTCAGAGGAATCCCATAGTAGAGTAGAAAAGACTAGAGAGAGTATAAAGGGAAGGAACCTGACAGACTGTTAGCAGGTATGCAAGAGACAGCCAGGCTTGGATGTAATTTCCCATGCTGATTTTAATTCCATCTGGACAAGCCAGGTGCTGACATCCAGAAGAAATGTGCTGAATATCACGCTGTCTTCACTACTGTATTCTTGCTCATTTTTAGTTCATCTTCTGGAGAGAAGGATCAAATGGATTAAAATTCAAATAAATTTAGAGTCTTATACATGCTAAGTATATGCTCTACAAATAGACTACACTCATAACTTTTTGTTTTGTTTTTTTTTTCTTTAGTTTTTAGAGACTGAGTTTCTCTGTGGCTTTGGAGGCTGTCCTGGCTGTAGACCAGGCTAG